AAATCTTCTGTTCAGCTCTTCTACTCAGGCATGTTTTCCTTTTGTTTTGGCTTCTTGACACTACAGTGCAATTTTTAGAGTCTCTTCTGACATCCATTTCGGTTTTTTCTTTCTCCTCTGTTTTTGAAATAACCTTTTGCTTTCTTCATGGATAACATCCTTGATATCCTCTCACTACTCATCTGGTGTTCCATCATTGGTTTTCAATGTCAAACCTATCCCCAAGATGATCTTAACTTTCAGATACAATTGATTCAAGATCATATCTTGGTTCCTGTAGACTTATTTAATTTACTTCGGCCTCAGTTTGAACTTGCATATGAGTAATTGATGGTCTGGCCCAAAATCTTAGTTTTGACCTAGATTTGACTGCTGATATCCATTCAGCTTCTCCAACTTTATTTTCCACAAATGTAGTTAATCTGATTTCTATGCAGCCTATCAGGTAAGATCTATGTGTAAAGTCATTGTCTGTGGGTTTTTAAAAAGGTATTTGCAATGAATTAATCATTGTAAATAAGAAATTTGGTCATCCTATTTCCAGCCTCATTTCTTGATCAAATTCTTAGGTCCTAGTAATTTTTCATGAGTCTAAAAAGTTACCTTTTTAATTTACTTCTTTGACTTTGCCTAGTATTTTTTTTCCAATTATTTTTTAAGGTGACGTTTTAGGTCCCATAAATTGGTTCACATTTGTCTCCTCTACACTTGCAGCTCTTTCTCCTAGAAGAGATGAGAGAACGAAAGTATGATGGATACGCTCGAGTGATTCAGAAATCATGGAGGAAATTTGTGGCCAGGAAGAAATATGTCCAAATGAGAGAAGAAGGTATGGGAGTCAGGTTGGCCCTTGCAAGTAACACATTTCAAAATTTAATCTGTGCCTAGATGAAGTTGTAAGTTCATTTATTTTTCATATAATGTTATGTGTTAAAACTCTTACATTCTTTTAGTTTTTCCTGTGTGTTTTGACACAAAGTATTTTCTTCCTTTTCTTGGGGACTGATCCTTTTCCTTTTGCCTCTTTCTCGGCCATTGCAGCCTCTGACCTCCTGCTGAACAAGAAGGAGAGAAGGAGAAACAGCATTAATAGGAACTTCATTGGGGATTACATTGGGATGGAAGAGCACCCTGAGCTCCAGCAGTTTGTGGGCAAGAGAGAGAAGATTGACTTTGCCGACACAGTCACCAAATATGACAGGAGGTTTAAGGTATATTCTGAGAGTCACTCAAGCAGTTTCATTATCTGTTCAAATCAAAACAAACTCCTAAAGTTGTTGGGGAGTTTTATTATCAAAGAAAAACCTTTTTTAAAAATACAGAGAAACCAAAAGATAAATAGCCACCTACACTAAGAACCACCATAGTTAACATTGTGTATATATCTTTCAGACTATTTTATGCAAGCATGCATATACATACTTAGTTCTACAAAAAATGAGATTAATAATTTTGTGCTGTTTTACATCATTTATATTTTTTCTCTTAATATGTCAGAGAAAGCTTTTCATATTAATAAATGTATATCTAAATTAGTTTGTAGAGCTGCATAGTATTCCATTGAACAGATGATTTATTCCTTTTTCACCAGTTTTCTCATTCATCATTTTTGGGTGTTTTAGTTTTCCACTATCATAACTGCAGTCAATTATTTCCTATACATGTTTGCACATTGTCTCCTGATGTTATTAGAATAACCAGGAAGGAGCGCATTGTTGGGTAAAGGATTCAGAATCACTTTGTAATCATGAAGCAGTATCGCCAAGTGTTCTCATCCATTCTTCCCAAGTGCATGACCAAGAAAAACTCTGTTCACTAATCACTGGACTGGCAGCTGATTTATCTCTTTCCATTAGACTATATAATACCAGTTAAAATGCTGATCCTCATAGTGAAGTTAGAAGCCCCTGTAGCTCAAAGGCACATTAAGAACATTTTTTTAGTCAGAAAAACTAATAATGAAATAAATAGCAGTATTAATTTAACAAGAAGGATGATGTCATTTTGCTGAAGCTAAATCATTCCTTGCAACCTGAATGTGGTAAAGGCCTTACATGCAAATATGCCTGTGTAGGTCAGCAGTGCTCAGCTACAGGGTGGTCTCCCAGATGTTCCAAAGTGTTTGTTTCTATTCTATTTTTAAGTTTGTCATTGAGATAAAAATATTATCAATTCTGAATAAAAAAAATTTCATAGATTCCCAAGAAAATACACTTGAGAGATCCCAGTTTGAGAAACATGCTCTAGCAGATAATTGGTAGGGTCACCAGCACATGTATCTGCTTGCTTGGAACCATTCCATTTCCATGTTTGTCCTGATTCTTCAAGGAGAACCGTATGATTGTCATTTTTATAACTCAAAAGGAGTGAAATATCAGTAATGTCACATTTCAACCAAATACTGGCCCCTGTCACTCTCAAAGGACTACAGTTGTTCATTTCAACAGCATTGAAGGTTTGTTTCCCAAGATAGCTTCCCTGGCCTGGTAGCAGGCATCCACTGTGTGGACAGTTGTCCCTTTGGACTTGTCTCTCCACCTTCTGAAAGCACCTCTCTTTACAGGGTGTAAAGCGAGACTTACTTCTTACCCCAAAGTGCCTATACTTAATTGGACGAGAAAAGGTCAAACAAGGCCCAGACAAAGGCCTTGTGAAGGAAGTGGTGAAGCGGAGAATTGAGGTGGAAAGGATCTTGTCCGTGTCACTCAGGTAAGTGACGAGGGGTACCCTATCTTTCTTCAGCATGGCTATCACCCTTCCACACAGAGCCAGGAAAAAAAAGACCTCGTTAGGCTTTGCAGTTGATAAAATTACAATGGAGAGCCCTGAATGTTCCCTTCCTCCCCGGAAAGATGAACTTCAGAAATCTCAGTCAGCTTTTATGGGATAGAAATAAGAGAACAAGAAAGTTGCCTTCTGCTTAGTCTCTCTACCTCTCTACTCAAAGGATACACAGGTCCTTTGTTCCCATAACATTATAAAAATAATACTAGTCTGTGGGGGGGAAATGGGAGTAGGATTGGTTTTACTGAAGCAGAGCCTAGTTTAAGGGCCCTATCCTCCTTGCCACATCACCCAGTTTGAAAACATGACTTATTTCACCAACAAAATTCCTTTGGCAGTGGTGGCCACTGAGCTGTCCACTTCAGTTTGCTGTGACCTCTCATTGTCCTGAAAGAAAATTTTCTTGGCGACTCTTCACAGCTCTTTCTGCCTGTTCATATAAGGGAGGAAATACAAATTGGCTTTCATAATGTGTAGCTATAATGTTGTGGCCAAGGACTCCATTCAAATCCAAGTTCACAGGCAATTGGAAGCCTTGGCTCCTTCAGCAACACCTTGGGCTGGGGTCTTTGCTCTTCCTGTCAGCATTTGGCTCTCCTTTGGCTGAGATAATCCTCTGCATTGGAGATGTCACTAAATCTTCATGTAAGATTTACTCTCGGAGGGAGTTCCCTGTAGTAGGAAAAGCCTCCTTATCCACAGAAGACTAAGAAGAGCGGAAGAAGACTGGAGTTACTACTTCTTTGAGTTCTGTCCCTCCTCCCTCTAAGGCTGTCATCACTTTTGCCAAGGGAAGCCTTGGGCTGCCATCACAGTAAAGAGTAGGGGTATTCTAAATGCTTTCTGGAACTGGGATACTTCTCTGAATACTTATTCCAAACAAAACCCAAAACTGCTGTGCCTAGGAAAAGCTTAGGCGTCTGACCTCCCAGACTGGAAGGCCTGGCAACAGGATAATCCCAGTGTGATAATCCAAAGCACATTGCAAGTTGTGGCCATTCTTGCCTTCTGTCATTGTGGTTTCTGGTTTTATCTGTTCCTAATTTTAAAAGATAAAGAGCTGGGTGGTGCAATAAGGCTATGTGTTTTAAACATGGCAGTTCAGAATGTGGTGAAGTTTTTAAACAGATGGATCCACAAGTCTCCTTTTCTTCAGGTAGGTCTCAGCGCCATTGATGTCAAAGGAAAAGCTCTGGTACTGTCTGGTACTGTCTCTTGTCCATGTCATAGCCTGAGCATGGCAGTCTGCTGGCCACAGACTTCCTGAGTTGCTGGGCCCTGAGGGTCCACAGGCTGCTCCTGGGGTTCAAGACCCTAAAGGAAGCTTTTGTTTTTTCCTCATGTGGCAATTAGTACTACCTGGGCTAAACTAGGCTCATTGAAATCTGCTGTGTGTACTTGACAGCTGGCTGTAAGTCTGGGGGTCATTATTCTGAGACTGATTGTTGTCTGCTTTTATTATTGCCCTGGTGGTACAGTGGATTAATCATTTGGCTGCAAAAAAAAGGTGGGTGGTTTGAATCCACCAGCAGCTCCATAGAAGAAAGATGAAGCCAAGCCATCTATGTCCATAAAGATTTACAACCTTGGAAACTTCATGAGTGGTTCTGCCCTGTCCCAACGGGTCAGTATGAGTCAGAATCTACCCAACAGCAGTGGGTTTGGTTTGGGGGCTTGAGTTTGTCTTCGGGCCATCAGATCACTCATGGAGTGCTGTTCTTATGATGATCATAAATAATCATGTTGTACTACGTTTTGGTTTTTTTTTAAATGTGTGTACCGTCAAATTGCATCTGACTGGTACAGGAGGCGATTGTTCCTCCTTCTTCAGCAGAGCATCTGGTGGATTTGAACCGCGCACCTCTGGGATTGCAGTGCAGTTTCCTGCCACTAGGCCACCATTTTTGCAGAACAGTTAGATAATTTTATTCTTCATCAAGTCTTTAAGAGGTTGAATTTCAAATATCTTATATCTTTTTACTCCCAGCTGTTCTCTTACAAGGGAACTCTGGTGGCCTAGTGGGTAAAGAGTTGAGCTGCCAATTCCAAGGCAAGCGGTTTGAATACACTCACTGCTCTGAGGGAGAAAGATGGCCAGTCTCTTCCTGTGTACCCTCCAGCCTCTGAAAACTCCCTGGAGGCTCAGCTCGGAGTTAGGTCTGACTAGACGGCAATGAGTGTTCCTAAATTTTTCTTCTCTCACAATCTCTAGGCTCCATGGTCTCACGGTAAAGCTAGCTTCCTCCTCTTGCTCTTTAGTTTTCATGATCTGAAGGTTTGTTTCTTTAAAACCTTTCCTTTTTAGAGGATGTGATAATATGTGGCACTTAGCTTAAAAGTTGTCTGACTCAAAAGGGAAGGGAAAAAAAGAGCCTGAGTCATTTCAACTTGTGATTTCTGCATGGCATAATTAGTCCAGCCTCACACTTACCAAGACGAATGCTGCTCCCTTCTGTCCTGAGTACAGCGAGGTGAGCCAGTAACTGAAAACCACGTTAGGGAAGGAGCCAGAGGGACAGTGGTTTGTACAGAATCCAAACCAGAGTGAAGGCTGATTGTGGTACAAGACTAAGGAACATGTATGTGTGTGGACACTTGAACAAAATATTCCAGTTAGAACATAAAGAAAGATATCAGCAGTTGTTTTCTGTTTTGGCTAGGGGAAAGGAATAACACCTCTATGTATTTTGCAGCATTTTTGAGACTTACTCATTTACTATGAGCTGGAGTTACATCACCTGGTGGCTGCTTGGAATCTCAGGGTGCATATGGTTAGCATACTCAGCTGCTAACCTAAATGTTGGGTGTTTGAGTCCCTCCAGAGGCATTTTGGAAGTAAGGTCTGAGGATCTTTTTCAAGCTCAGTTTGATAATAAGGATTGCTTATTTATTCTTCAGGTATAATGATATTGTTGTTACTTTAAAAGTTAGACATTGAAAGAAAGATAATATCTGTACTTTGCTTTAAAAATATCTACTGTGGAAGCGGGGGAGGAGAGTTGTAGATAAATAAGGCTGATGATCATTGGAAGCCCCTGACAACGTGGAGGTTCATTTTACTCTCTACTCTTTGAAAAAAATGTTTTTAAATCCTCCAGCCGACTTTATATTTTCAGAAGTCTTTATCTTTTATAAATAGGCCAAAATTGATCTATTTGCAATTTTTCAAAGTTCTGCTTTGCTGAGGCCAGTCCTTGGGAAAAGGATATCATGCTGGGAAAGGTGGAGGAGGGTCAGAGAAAGAAAGATGAACTGACACAGGGATTGTGTTAGTGGGCTGGCTGCAGTGCGGTGGAGATCCAGAGGGTGGCGCAGCACAGGGCAAGAGCCAGACTTCTTGTTCCCAGGGTCTCTGTGAGTTGAAGTCAACTCGATGGCATCTAACAACAACTGTTTGTAAGGGGGGGAAAGAGTGTATCACAGCAAATAGAATTAGGGTCAGGGACTCACAGAAATAATAATGAAGGTTATCCAAAGGATTCTAGGAAAATTCGAATAGGAAAAATTCTTCTCTAAATGAAAGTTAGATTAGCACTCTGATTGGCTGTACCTGGCCTTCATTGGAGATTTGGGGAAGATCAACTTCAAGTTCAAGCATTGTTGGATTTCTAAGTGTCCTGACAGAGGACAATGAAGCTAGTTTTGAAACATTCTTCAAGAGCTGCTTTTGTCCAGGTGCTCACCTTTCTTTATTCCTTTCTTTAAAAACCCAGTGCTAATAGAGGGACCATAATGTATAATAGGCCGTGTTCTTTACTTTCCTTTTGTAGGTGATGAGATTAATGTCATGGAATCATATTTCTGAGGCCCCCTATGATAAGGCTTTAAGTTTTGATCAATACTTTAAGACTTATCAAGACCGAGATTGACTTTCAAACTTCTCATATCTTCACCACTGCCGACCACCCCCATTCTTTTACAAGGGAGCTCCAGTGGTCTAGTGTCGAGAAGCTGGGCTACAATCCCTATGGCATGTGGTTCAAAGCCACCAGCTGCTCTGCAGGAGAAGGCTGGGCAGTCTCCTCCTGTGCAATCAGCTGCCTCTGAAAACCCACCAGAGGGTCAGCTATGGGTCAGTTCCGAGTCCATGGTACTCAACAACAACATGATGAGGCTTCTAGTATTCCCTCCCATTCCAGTAGCTGACCAGCAGGGGGCTAACGGCTCAGCACCCAATGCCATCTGCCTGCCTGCCTGAGTCAGTTGTAGTTATGTGCTGTCAAGTCACTTGCCACTCATAGCGACTCTTATGTACAAGAGCCCTAAACGCTGCTCTATCCTGTTCCAACCTCGCCGTCTCCGACACACTTATTCCCATCACCCCAATCACAGAATCGATCTATCTCATCGAAGGTCTTCCTCTCCTGCGCCATCCCTCCACTAGGTCTCCTAATACTATGTAACTTAAAAGAGTACTAAAGTGCTTTAGACTGCCCTGATGGCTCAGTGGTTATAAGCACTAACTACTATCCAAAAGATTGGCAGTTCTAACCCATCAGCAGCTCCACAAGCAAAAAAACCTGACATTTTGTTCCCATAAAGATTATAGCCTAAAATGCCTTCTGGGGCAGTTCTGCTCTATCACAGAGGGTTGCTATGGGTTGGCATGACTGTGGCAGCCCATAGCAACCAATGTACTCTTGATTGAGGCCCCAACTTCCCATCACAACATTCTTGCCTAGAATGTATCGTTTCATTAAATCTCCTGGCAGTGAGAAGCCCTCACCGCTGCCTCTTGATCTGACTGGAAGTGTGGCTGAAATCTTGGCTCACTGTAGCCATCAGGCTTTGGGAGCCTGGTAGCTATGAACGTTTGTTGAACTGAAGCTCTACCTGTGTCAAGCCTTGTGTTGACCTTAGGGATCCACTCACTCACTGCCTCAAGGAGCCCCCTCCCAGTCTGGAAGGAGAAGCAAGCACCTGCATCATCAGCCTGTGCCATACAGTGAAAGGAGATAGTTCGGGGGCATAAGAGGAGAGCAGTTCCTTCTGATGAGGATAAAGGGAAGCTTCTTAGAGGAGCTCGCATCATCACTGCGGTCTGGCCCATGTATACAGGTTTCTCAGAGAAGCTAAGGAGGACCCAAAGGTACCTCTGGTTTCTCTGAGTGATAGAATTCCAAGTGAGGTTTAGGAGGTTTTTTGTTTTTATTCCCTTCTGTATTTTCCAGTTTACTACAAAGACCATAGATTTCATAGTTGGGGAAAACATTTTATAAAGACTTAAATAGAAGCAGAGATAACTTTGGAAATTGCTTTTTCAGCTAAAAGACAAGGCAAAAAACAAACCCCACCTTTAAGGCTTTGCTCAGTATTTTGTAACTCACATTTTTTTTGTGAAGATACTAGTTAAGGGAGTAAAATGAGAGTTTCTAGTGTTGTCAGCAGTACAGCTGTAAACCACAGTGATGGAGGAGCAAAAACAAACCCAGAGCCAAACCAGGGACCAGTATAGGATCCACAAAGGGTCCAGCATCACACATCTGCACGGACTTGCAGCTGGAGCATATGAATAAGACAGGCGAAGTCCAAAGATAAGTCTGCTTTTTTTTTTAGAATGATTAAACACAAAAGCTTTGTTTTCAGGTCTAGGAGCATGGGCTGAGGAGGGAAGAAGCAGCTGAGCATTTGTCCTGCGTGGGGATGCTCTTACTAATTCATGGGCTGGATCACTGAGAGAGGGGATTTTGAATTTGATGGTTGAAGTCAAAGTGTCCAAACATGTCTCTTCTCATTTCCAAACTTCTGCTGATAATTGACCTGGATGGTTTTTTGGCCTGCTTGCTCGTTGTGAATCTCAGCACATTGAAGTGCTCCAGGTGACGTGGGCTGGGTTCCTTTGGCTCTGCTGAATAATCACTGACCTGGCCGATTGGCAGCCAGGCCGCCAGATGTGTCCAGACGCACCAAGGAGGGCCTTGAGTAAGCCATTAAAGCAGGCGTTTGGGAATTCCCTACCCGTTAAACAAACAAACAAAAAAAGGTTTCCATTTCCCCCACTGCACACACTCCATACAATAGTGGCACATTTTTTTAGCTGAGCTAAGATGCTTATACTTCATTATTCAGAATTACCTGGGAGAGAAGCTGTTTTGAGCGGCTTTCATGTATCTGAAGATGGGCAATCTACTACCTCTGAAAATCCACTGGCAGGTCAGTTCTGAGTCCGTTCCAATTTCATGGTATATGAGAACAATGAAGTGATCAAGACCATTTCAGAATTTTCATCTTTTCATCTAACCAGAAGTAGGAAGCTAATGTAAGTTTGCAGCCATTATTATGAGCTTTTAGTAATAAGGTACATTATTTTCAACTTTTTGGAAAAGATTTCCACTGTTGGAAAAGTTTGAAGAAGACAGAGAGGAGTTGTGGGCTTTACCCCGATACCTGTTCTCTCTGTGTTTGGAGCTGCTGCCTGGCCACAGCGAGTTTTCCCCGAGGCTTCCTTGCAGCTCTTTATAACCATGTGACAGTATGTGCTGGCTGGGGGGCCCGAGCAGAAGTGATTCAACAAATCCAGCTCATACCTTTAAAGGAAAATAGGAGGTACCTAGATTGCAAGCATTTTATAACTAGCATGTTGACCCTGAATTGCCTTTGCACTGCTGAAGAGTGACAGATTTTAAAATGCCACCCGTCTATCTGTGAACAGCAAGAAGTATGGCTATAATGCAAAAATACTTAAAAGCAAACTCTTGAGGTAATAATAATGGTCAAGTGTTCCACCCACATGACTACTATCCCTCCCAAAATGCCACTAAGGCATCTGACTGTGCATCTAAGGAGAACTCTTTGACACAAGAGTCTTCTAAAGTCAACAAACTGTGAGAGAACTGAGCTCCACTCCCCTGACATGTATCTTTTCTGTAGTTATGCCAGTCTCTCTTTGTGGTTTGTACATGCAGCCATTTGGTGCTTTTCAGTTCCAGGTTAGACCCTCCTTGTCCTGTGGATTACCAGACTTCCGTCCTGTTGGAAGACAGATGCCAAGGTTTCAGGGAGACGGGCTGCAGCTCCAGCTCCAGATTGTTGAGCTGCAGATCATTAGTATTTTGACTCAGCTGAGAGACAGCAGAGGTGGAAAGACTCCTGGCGGACTAGCTCAGGGAAGACATCTAGCTCCGATCTTGTCATGTTCGTGGCTCTGAGCAGAGAGGCCACAAGAGCTAGTTTAAACATATTAGATTCTAAACAGAAGAAGGATGCCAATATTAAAAAAGCCTCTCTAAACCCCAATCCTCCTCGTGACCCACTTGCATCCCCATTCTGGCTTTGTCATAACATTAAGCCCTTAGCCTAGTGATACCAAGTGCCCTGGGAGCAGAGCACAGGACCAAAGTAAAGCACCTCAGCTCTGGTTGCTAAAAGAACCACCTCTTTAGCTTTTTCTGAACTTGAAAAGATGACATATTACATTGATCAATTCAATGAAGGAAGTTCGTATACTTATTCTTACTACTTGGCAAGTCCCTATTAAAATGTCATTCCTTTGTCTTGTCTTGGTCAATTGGTACCTGGAGGTGATTGTAAACATCCTTAACATGAAGTCTTTGTAGCGATAGACTCATCCAGCTGAGGTAGTGAGTACACGTCTCGCATTGTTATAACTTTCTGCAGGTCATGCTTGACCTGGAAACGGCTGTGCTGTCCTCCATCTCCACCCATCACTAGCCACTGCCCCAGAACTGACTTCGTCTCAGCCTCTCTCTTCCATCATCATCCCATCTCCTAACTGTCTCTGTTTTCCAGACTGACTTTCTCCACAGCCCCACCTTAAATATGCATTTCCTGCAAAGGTGTATTCTTTTCTTGTTTCATGAAATTCATTAACTTCAGGGTGACAGTGAATGTTTGTTCATACGTCAGTGTTGTACACCTCAGCGCTCCTGTGCATTGGTACACTGTGGTAACTCCCGGCCCAGAACATAAGCAGAGCAAGCTCTCCATAAATACATGTAAAGACTAAGATGTTGACTTCCCTTTGGATCACAGGCCTTACAGTTCTTCAAGTTAAGATCTATTACAGTAACTGCAACCTTATTATAAATGCTGTTAACTGGAATTACTTGTGAATTGTTCTTTTTTAGCTGACATTCTGGATTTTTGAGTCTTGATTTTTTTTTTTAGTTTAAATTTTTTATTTTATTTTATCTTATTATCTTGGGAACATAGACTAATTTTGAGTATAGTTGTTGTTTTGCTGTGGGTTTTTTGTTTGTTTCTTTTTTTTTGTTCTTTTTTTTTTTTTTT